ATAATTAAGTCTTTAATAACAAACAAACAGTTAAATCTCGTATAGAACAATTAATCATGTCACCAGTATTGCTAGATAATAACTCTAAACAACATTTTATGTGCTAATTCCGAAGAAAGCTGTGTTAATTAAAACCGTAACCGATTTTGTGATAAAACTAATTTGTATGTTGCTAATAGCCGATAAAATCCATTATGAAGGGTTGAAGCCAGTGGAGCGGAGCGAACTGTGGACGCGACCAAGCGTGGAGACTCAATGACTTGCGACCTGTTCCGCTGTGTATTAGGTCATACAAACCGTGACATTTGTAGAACAGTAGTTTGTATATTGTTGCGCGTGGTTCAAATAGCTGCTTTTGCGTTCCGATTCAAATAATTCTTCGTTTTGAATTGCAAGGCGGTGTAATAAATTAATACAGAATGCAAATTAAGTTAACGTCAAATAAAAATGTACGTGGAAAATTATTCCATTAAATGTACGATTCAAATAAAACTAGGTGATTTACGATGCATTTTTTAAAAGTTTAATCAATAATCATGGGTATAAAGTTGATTTCCAATGTGATGTAATCGTTGCGATTATAAACAGAATCACCATTGTAACTAAAAACTGCTGCCAAAGATCACAAATTAAGGATTATCAGGAGAAACATCTGACTTTATTGTCAAATTGTCAGATTTCGAGAACAAAAGAAGTAATCGTATAGAGAAGCAATAGGCGGGTGTTTATAGTGAGGGTGGAAATGGTGATTCACGCCATGACCTTGCACCCGCGCCCCTATAGGGGAGTGATGGCTCATTTGTCATTGACACATTTACCGGCAACAGCAGCGGGGTCACCCACACATGTGACCCTAGGTCAAACTGTATAATAGTGAGTAGTTACACGTTACTTGACAAACTTACTTGCGTCTGCAGCGGGTCACCCACACATGTGACCCTAGGTCAAACTTTGAACTAGTGAGTAGTTACACGTTACTTGACAAACTTACTTGCGTCTGCAGCGGGTCATCCACACATGTGACCCTAGGTCAAACTGTATACTAGTGAGTAGTTACACGTTACTTGACAAACTTACTTGCGTCTGCAGCGGGGTCACCCACACATGTGACCCTAGGTCAAACTGTATACTAGTGAGTAGTTACACGTTACTTGACAAACTTACTTGCGTCTGCAGCGGGTCACCCACACATGTGACCCTAGGTCAAACTGTATACTAGTGAGTAGTTACACGTTACTTGACAAACTTACTTGCGTCTGCAGCGGGTCACCCACACATGTGACCCTAGGTCAAACTGTATAATAGTGAGTAGTTACACGTTACTTGACAAACTTACTTGTGCTGCAGCGGGTCACCCACACATGTGACCCTAGGTCAAACTGTATACTAGTGAGTAGTTACACGTTACTTGACAAACTTACTTGCGTCTGCAGCGGGTCACCCACACATGTGACCCTAGGTCAAACTGTATAATAGTGAGTAGTTACACGTTACTTGACAAACTTACTTGCGTCTGCAGCGGGTCACCCACACATGTGACCCTAGGTCAAACTTTGAACTAGTGAGTAGTTACACGTTACTTGACAAACTTACTTGCGTCTGCAGCGGGTCATCCACACATGTGACCCTAGGTCAAACTGTATACTAGTGAGTAGTTACACGTTACTTGACAAACTTACTTGCGTCTGCAGCGGGGTCACCCACACATGTGACCCTAGGTCAAACTGTATACTAGTGAGTAGTTACAAACTTACTTGCGTCTGCAGCGGGGTCACAAATGTACATAAAAATGTGTATATTTTAATTTAAAATTTTAAGAAAATTATAAAATAGACTATTCTCAATATACGGCCCACTGAACGAGTATTGCGGAGCTTTGGATTATAGTGAACGTAAGCGTGGACGTGTTGTAAGGAACTGTCCCGCTGTAAAGTTAAACGCTACCCATTCTAGCAAACATAGCGTTCATGGAAAAATATAAACCGTTAAACAAAACGCTTCAGCTCCGAATTCAATTGGGAAAGAGAACCTTCAGGCAAATTTCCGTTCTGCAAATTTCAATCTATTTTCAGTAAAATTTGTTCGCTTTGAGATGTTTATCGCAGAAAGTATCAAAAAACGTGTTTAAATTGAAATAATCTACATGCATTTAATATAATGTGTTAACACATTATAAGTAGATTATTTTTGACTTTAATGAGTAATTTTACATATGGACCATGTCAATTATAGATTTTAAGCGTGGGTTATATTCAATTATCTTTTTAAAGGTGATTTAAAGATTTTTTTATGAAGAATATTTATACATTTTTGTAAAACCTTAAAATACTTATGAATAATTTATTCCTTCTAAGGTCAGATATTGCCATATAGTCCCCAAGTTTGACTTGGACTGTAAACAAGCTACAGACTTAGACTGTAGACGCCGAGAACAAGCGTTTTATGAATATGTTAGGCTTGTTGTATGACACGTTTGAGAACAACAAACTGTTTTCTTGATCAAATATTGTTGGTCGAAAGTAAGTTCCACTAAGTTCTGCCTTATTTATTAAAGTAGTTTTAGCATAAAATGCAACACAGAGAGGGGGAATGTCAATGTATTACTTACGGTGTCCTCTAACTGGAAAATGCTTCTGTAACAACAATGCAGTTCATAGGCTCATATTGAGTGTAAAAGCAATATTTTGCGGATCCCACAATTAATTACCATAATTGCCATTTCCAGGGTTGGACACACCCTTAGCGTGTGCGGCAGCCTAGCGAGCAGACCTACGTACCGCAAGATATTAAACATTGAAACGCCTTCAAAACATTTCATTATTTCAACAATGGTTTGATGATAATATGAATAATTTTTGGGGAAAATAAGTTGATTAAGATTTGTTATCTGTTATAATTATTATTATCTAGTTGTATTAATGGCACGAAGGAAATTATTGGTTATTGATGCTGCTACGAAAAACAAAATTTTGTAATTACTATTTTAAATATACCATGAAATTTTGCAAAGCACAAAATAAAATAAATTCATTTTTCAAATCTAGATAAGATTAATCCACATATAAACAATCTCTTATAAATTATTTAACTCTCCCTAATAAACATACTAATTGCAGTTTTTTTATTATATCTGCAACAAACGTTTCAAAATATGAAATATGCACAAAATTGATTAAATTTTAACCTAAATCGGGCAACGACTTAGTAGGCTACATTTGAAAATGTAAAAATAAGCTAAAAAATTTATGATTTTAAATACCCATTCCATAGTCAGATAGAGACATTTCTTATTACTTTTGGTCAAAATGGCATAAAATTTGAAGCATTTTGACAATAATCTTGCCTAATTACTACTCCTGGAGGGGCTTTAGAATACCTTTTAAGTAAAAGAAAATCACAGCAGGAAGCAACCAATCATCATATTCCAACAAATGCCAATAAACGAGAGGCTGAGTTTTTCAAAGAATGTTAAAGCCTTTCTTTATTCTTTAAGGTTGTCACCCTTAACACTCAAAATGTCAACTAATGAAGTGACATGTAGGTCTCGTTATCGAATATTTCATTCTTCAGATGTACGCACGGGTATCTATTTTTCATATTTCAAACAGTAGGGTAACAATTCAAAACCGTCAATTGAACACCAATAAAACCGTAAATCGAAACGTTTTGAAATTTGTAAAGAATTCATAAAGACTCTGCTTTGTACCTCAGGGTCGTCACCCTCAGAATTCAAAACACCAACTAATAAAGAGATATGTAGGTCTCATTATAGAACACTCCCCTCTCCAGTCGCACGCACGCACAGGAGCACGCGGGCCGCGCGGCACGGCGGCGGCGACAGTGACGGACGAATGTATGTGTGGTGCGGGTGTGTTATACCATGCGTGTTGTTGTTGTGTGCGACCATTGTACGAAGGTGGTTAAGTGATAGATAGTATGAAAAGTGTAGTTAACGGCATGTGATTAATGGCTACTTTGAGTGTTAACAACTAATTTAACTATTTAAAGAAATATACATACAATTAGGTACCCAATAAGTTAATATACATTAGGACACATTTTGGATAAAAAATAAGCAAGTTTTAAATCAACAAGAGATATGGTTTGGTTTAAACTTAACTTAATTCTATATGTGGTCTAAAACAGGATTGCTGTTCTGATGTGTTTTTTAACAAGCTTAAAATAAATAACTCCTCTGCAGATCAGGTGTTAACCTAGCCTTGCCCCACACAAGTGGCTTGTTACGAAATCATTAAGCGCTACAGCCTCAGATCAAACATTGAATCAGGTGTTCCCATAAAGAACTGTTGATCTACTTCGTGTTGATATCCTACGTGTGGCGTAGTACAAAGATATTATCTTATTTTGTGGGTTTTAAAACTTTTTAAGATGTTATTTCAAATTTGTTTTGTATAATGAGTGAGCAATGTTACAAAACGTTCGGGAATATGCAGTTAATAGGCATGCGCACACAACCGGTTTACTTGACACAATAAAGCTAATATCTGAGCAATCTAAAATTTAAAATAAAAATCGCATAACCATACGGTATGTTTTATTTGTTCGTATTATTAAATGCTTGAATAAAAAAAAAACTGATCCCTTCTTAAATAACACTTTAATCTTAAAATTCATTTTTATGACTTTAAAGTTCATTCAACGTATTTCTCGAGGGCTTCACCTTAATTTATTGTGCTTTGATGCCATCTAAACCATTTAGACATAAATAATTACAACTTTAAAATATAATTTCAATTACACATACGTCTATAGGACATATTTAAATACATTTTCATTATTAATTGTGTTTTAATTTCAGCTTAACTCTTGACATAATTTATAATAAGAAATGAAATCCACCAAATAAATAAAAGTTGGATGATTATTGACTGAATTCAGTCTATATAAAAGTGTACAGTGACTTGTAGAGTGTTGATTACCTCAAATGCTGGAACATTGACAGAGCAGAGTAGCCAAGAGTGCACATTGTACACTGTACAGGGTGGATACGTAGATATGTGAGCCAGAGTGTAGGAACCATGGAGGTCCTAGTGTGTTTTGCTCTTCTGCTCAACCTGGTGGCAGGCCTGAGAGGCGATCCTCAGGGCGACGACGCGGTTGTCTTTCAAAGAAATCGTAAGTTTTTCAATTGAATTTACATATAGTTTCATTGATTTTAAATACCATAACTAGTTATCGTAGTATATAAGGGTAAAATATCATGATAATAAGAAACATGTATTGTACGAACACATTTAGTTTCAATATTGACTTTATGTCACCACTAATTAATTCAGTTTTTTTTTTTATAAAGGAAAACTATATGTGAAATAGAAAGGTGATACATTTAAAATCACTTTGCCGTTATTTTTAGTATTATTACAAAGCTTTTGATTACAATTTGAATAACCTTATTTTCCTTAAGTTAGAGTGTAACTTTTCTATAACCTTTATCTCTTTAGATAAGGATAGTTTCTAGTGATAATCGGCATCTTAAAAAAAAAAACTTTCCTCAAATCATTGAGAATTTGGTGGTAAACCAGATTCCATGATTGCCTTTCATCGTTTCAATATTTAACTGTCGATAAGTGATGTTTTAAACAATTACTAAACAGTTTAATTTAGTTTAGCTAGTTAGTTAGATAAAAATGATCTCAGAACATTAATAACCTTGTTAGTTCAATTTGCCTAGTTTTAATTACTAGAACCCCCCTAATAAGACCCCCCCCCCTAATAAGAACCCCCCCCCTATGTGCTGCCTTCCCCAAACAAATAAGACGTCATCGGCCGTTTCTACAATCAAGAATTTTCAATGTCAAGATTTTTAACAGGTCCTTATTAGGTCGGAAGAATGAGATAAGTAAGGACAGTTGTGTGGATTATTGTTTTTTATTATTTTCTCAGTAAGCATTTTAAACAATTAACAATGCATGGGATAGAACACTGTTGTTATTTAATTATTGACAACCACGATGGAAATTGATTGTTTTTTTTACTCTGTATTTTAATTATACTCATGTTTAACGCTTCGATAGCTAAAAAATCTTTTTTAATTCTCTCAGAAACAGACTGAAAAGATGCAAATAGTTTAATAGGCTATTGTGACAAAATCCATAATTCTATAATTACATTTTTAGCTATACTACGGTTTAAAAACGACTAAGAGATAGGGAATAGGGATATGCCAATGATCAATTTAACATTTATCTCCTTATGGTACAAACTGTTTCAATGAAACTTACTGCTCTATTGCCAAGTCTTGAAATACACGTTAGTAAAGCGATACGTAAAGAATGAATAGGATACGTCTAGTTAGTATAGAACTCTAACTATGTCCTATTGTTTACACATACAATGGCTGTAATAATGTCCGGTGCAGGTAGTGGACGTTGTTGTATTTTGTCAATACTCTCTTTAGGTTTTTTAAATCATTACAGCAAACGAGTATTAAAGTCGTGTTGACAACCTTATTTCTAATTAAGGTCAATAAATAAGTCGAATAATATTTCCTAGCATAGAAACATACACAGTTATTAGTAAAAAATGCCTAAAATACTTAGAACTAACTGTATGAATATTTTGACGGATATTTATGGATTCAATCAAAGGTCGGCGAGCCTCAAGATGGCTGCTCAACCTCCTTAAATAACCCCTACGACGTAGATCAAAACAATATGAGTATTTATGTATCTGAATAGTAGGAAGCATCATACTTTTATTACCCACGATTACTGGAGTGATTGTTCTTAACTGTAACTGACTTTTAACTTATTCGAATAACACATACATTTGATATGCGTGAATGTGTTTCCTCAAATATCAATATGTTATGCGATTTTATTTTAGAAGTAATCTTACTCAACTGGAATTTTAAATCAGTAACTGATTAAATGTTAATCTACTTGTTTACTTTTTGTATGTTTTGGGTTTAATGTATTTTTTCCCGTACACCTTCTGGGCTATTACATTCACTAGTGATTGTAAACTCTAAATGTGTAGAAAATATTGTAAAAATAATAATTGTTTTAATGCATCGTGTTCTAAAAACGAGTTCAATTTATGGTAAGGAACACATTTTACTAAGTTATCATTAGAATGTATTTTTCAAGATAAACTCAACTGAGTAACGTTTTATCTATGTTTTTGTAATCTTTGCTCTGTTTGTTGAAAACTTTGTGATCTTTCGTCGTTTACTTTTAGACTCTCTTTAGTCTTAGTTTGTCTAACAAACTTGACGAAGCACTTCTGAACGCTTGACGTTGTAAGTGACTCACTTTTTATGCTGGGATGGTAGTAATTATCTCTTAAAACTGCTGGTGATTTCCGTCCTGATGCTGCATGATTTTTGTTTCATGTAAAATATTTGGACATTTAATATGTTTAAGTTTAGGAAAGGATTTTGTCTAAGTAAAGGTCACAGCAATAAGCACAAACCCATTGTGATGTTAGTATGTGTAAAAATAAATATATTCAGTTGTTATAACCAACCAAAACTGGGAGTGTTTATGTTGCAAATATTAGGAAAATAATAATTTGAGAATTGGAACAATATTTACAACAAAATTGTTGTAGTTGTGGGATAGAGAATTGCTTAAAAATTAAATAAAAAAACATCTTATTAGCTTTGTTAAAATATAATGTATTGCTATTTGTGAGTAAGAAAAATCAGAAGCACAAAGAAGTTGTGGGTTTCTAAGTGCGCAATCTTGTAATGAATTCCATCAATATTTATAAAGATAAGTTTAAACGGATGGTGTTTTTTGCCTTTGGGGACATCAAAACGAAAAAAGTAAATCGGTCCTGGGTGTAGGTATTACCATTAGACATACGGTAATAGCTATTCCCTATATGGGAAATTCGTCAAAAAAATTCCATTAAGGTGATTACTAAACAATCAATGACATGTTTATGTAAACAGACTTCAGTAATTACCTATAAATTACATATACTTATAAGTAAAATGTCACAAACCAGGGCTGAAATATTTCCTTTATCAGGTTAATGGAAATTATTTACTTAAGACCTCCATAACAACTAAACAACAATAAATGTAAATTGCAATTCATATCCACCACACGGGTTGTAGTCGTAGGTAAAGAAAGGAGAATAGATTGTAATCAATTAATGGATTTTTCTCTATTTAGTTTCAAAGGACTGTATTCTGCGTATTCATCTTACTGTGAGCACGTGTACATCACTCTTGCTTTATTTGTACAAAGGAGTTAATTACATAACAGTTAATGGCAATACATAATGTTACTCTTTTGGTGGTTTCTATCAGAGTAAGGAGTAATCATTTTTCTTTCCCAACTCATCACATAATACATTCAAACTTAATTCCATGATATTATTACTTCTAATCAAGGTGATTCTAAAAAAGTATTTTGTTTACGAATGACACTTGTGAACTTTGAAACTCACCCGCATCTCGAAAGAGGTGCGTGGGACGTGATACGAAGTTGAAGTACTTCCCTTTCACACAACTAAATATACAAAAAAAACTTAAAATAAAATTAGAAATAATGCCAATTACTGGGAGTGCATCTTCACAACTCTACAATCAAGTTAGTATACTTAAAATAATATTACTTACATCATGATAGGGATGTTTTATTCTTAAAATATTCTCATCACTCGCTTGTATTAACAACCAATAAAACGATTTAGTTTTTAACATCAAGTTTATGAATTAGTGTTTCCACGCCGTTGGACGTATTTCGTAAGGGAACCGTCCAAATCCTCTTACTGTTACCTTTTGTTGGATAGTATCATCATTGCTAGGGTGAATACCTACCAGGCTTTAGAACATGAACACAAAATTACCAAAAATTGAAGCAAAACTGAAAAAAAACTTACACTTTCACGTGTTAGCCTTGAGCCAAAAATGAGAAAGAGTTTGTTATGGCTAGGAATCAAATCAGATATGGCTTCATTTTTTTAATTTTTTCATTGTTTATGCAAGAATCTGAGAAGCTGAAGTCAACATATAATACGATGTGTTTCAAGTAAGAAAGTTTAAAAACGATGAGGTAGGTAGCTCATATTGCTTGACGATTCTGCATTGGTGCCAGCTTTCAGCTACCGGAAACTGATATTTATAGTCATTCCGTCCATTCAAAGCAGAGGCCCACTGCTCTACTTTGTCAGGTCTAAAACGTCGAAAGACGTCGAAATTGTATATTCAAACAATTTTTAAGGTTTATGGCCGTAATGCTTGTAAAGAACGTTTAAATATAGATCAAAATTTGATTCAATTTATTTAAATTTAATTAATTATTTAATTAATTAATAACTAATTAATTATTAAACATAATTATTTAATTATTTAAAATATTTAATAAAATTTAATTTCTTTTAGAGGATTTTACTTGTCGGCAGATTCAATATAGACAAATTGAATAGTAAAATTTTGTTTTGATTTCCTAATATTCCAGCTTTGGAGTGCTCATTGTTAACAACTGTCGTATGTTAATTTGTACATAGGTAGCTTTCTTATTAGGTACAACTATTCGTAACGGATTACCCTTGTGTTTTAAAATGAAGTAAGAATGCATTGTAAAAGAAAGTGTAAAACATAAATGTTTATGAAAGCTTCATTATTTAAGGTGCAATAATTATTTAACTTAATATTGTTTAGTGTTGGGAGCCTCAAGAGAAAATTTAAACATTTTCTATTAGTCTCGAGAATATTAAGTTCCAACCAGTTCTCGAGAAAAATAGGTTCCAACCAACTTTACTGAAAAGTGTAAATAATATTAAAATGTTATCTTATTAATATTATAAATGTGAAAGTTTGTGTGTTTGTTTGTTTGTTTGAAGGTCAATCACGCATAAACCACTGGATGGATTGGGCTGAAATTTGGCATGATGATAGCTTACATTCCCGATTAACATATAGGCATATTCTTATCTCAAAAATCCCTTCGGGCTCCGCCCCAATGGCTCTGTAGTTCCCCATGTTAACCTTATGAGTATTCATATTTAAAGGGAATTAAAGAATTTAGTCAGCTGTTTCAACTAAAAAGTTGGTTCTATGATATACAAAAGCATTAAAAAGTTATACCATTTACCAACAGGGTGCAGCACTATATTTTCTTTTGCATTTATGAAAACAGCTAATTTGAACTAAGCAGCAA